GCATATCCCATTCCATATCTGTCTATCTAAACATACACACCACATTAGCATATGTGCATCACCTATTAATAATAACTGTTTATTTGTTGTATTATTATCATTGTATTCCTACTTGAGGTACATTGTGTACTGACTGAGCAATTTTTAAATCATATTAACTTTAACTTCAAAGTACACATGCAGAGTGACCATTAAATATTAATCCCAAATTAATCCCTTGTTGCCACTTTTGCTCATACAGAATAAACAGTTTTTTTTTTCCATCACACACTTGTGCTTTGCAGATGTTTTGTATTTATAGTAATTACCAGTGAACAAACAATCCTGCTTTCAAAGCTAATGGATTATTCATTTTAATAGCACTTTTTATCTGTAAGTAAGGCCTTTATATGGATAAATGCCAATAAAGAAGGGAACATAATTGTTAAATTAGAACTAGCATGAATATTGTACCAGTACCACTATCAAGAAGCCTATAACAACTGTTTATTTTCGTATCAAAATATAATACAGCCCAGATTGGCTCATAACTGAAGTGCTTCAGTTAGTTCATTCTTAATAGTTCAGAGATTTACGGTATTATGTGATAAGTATTGCGTGATCCATTTTTTTGATTGCCTTGATAAACCTTCAAATGTAACTACATCCTACTGAAATCACAGCAGGGCCACAAATAACAAGGGCATTTGTACATATCCCTATAAATATTGTGACAATATAAAATGAAAAGCAAATTAGACAGTAATTCAGATAGGGGATAATCAGAAATAAATATCTTCTAGTGAGTCCAATTATTTCCACAGAGCTGTATAGTGGGTAAAAGAAAAATGTACAAAATCGTGTAAAAACTTTATGTTCAGAAACATTCAGAGGTGATGCAAGTCCAGCTCATGCAGGTCCAACTTTAAGGGTTGCCGATGTTGGGGGTTGCAACGGATCCCCTACACTACGGCTGAGTATATCCGTTATGAATCTCCCAAGTCCCAAGCGCAGTAGTGATTATAGCCCAAGTTCCCCAAACATCAGCCAAGACTTGATGAAGGGTAAAACAAATCTGTTTAATCCAGGCTCAATGGCCCACTTGTATACAATATAGAGACATAGTAAACATGCCCATGACAATCCCATAAACATACCCACAAAATATACCCAAAATGCAATGCCACCATGACTCAGCAATAAATGACAAAATATGAAAACCACACAAAATCACATATTTCCCACCAAGGAACCCCCATAGTTTATACATCCCCGGATAGCCTGGATCTAAGTGTCCAACATATCCAAAAAGTGCTCAGATCCCAAGAACAGAGCCGAAACGCCACAAGTTCTGACTGGCCTCACACATGGTCCTATGCCCAAAACAGTTCCAGGGCGTTTTGTGCTTTTGCCGGTCAAGTTCAGGAGTTCTAGGCGAAAGAAATACCGAACGCACACTATGGCTATTTAGATTCTCACAAACAAACCTACCGAACGACACTCTCCTGACATGTGTGGGAAGAAAGCAGGCATTCGTCAAAGTTCAGCGGTGTTCGGGAGGTGCCGTGTCCGATTTTAGTTAAATGCGATCGACGCCCAAACACACTGCCTGCATTCCCGCGAACAAGATGGCTTCCAACACCGTTCCGACGCGTTCGTGCATACGAACGGCGGACACCCAGCCGGACAATTAGAACACACGATAATTGAAGTGTCAGGAGAGGTTACCAGGGGTTGAGGACCCGGGCCAACTGCACAGCATCCTTGTACTTTTGGAGTGCCAAAAGCTTCAGGGACTTGTGGATAGAGAGCAGCATTGCTCTGCTCTAATGCCTGCTCTTCTCCTGGGAAGGCACTCGGCTACTGGGGAGAGAGACCAACTGCCTCTACTCCCTGGAACTCCTGCTGCGGTTGGGGATCTGGGAAGGCTGTCCAGCATCCCTGTAGGGCTGGTGCAGATACTTTGGTCCCATCTGTACGATGCACTCCCATTTCCTGTCTCCTGACAACAGGCCCTGCCACTGGGGAGAGAAACCGGTTGTCTCTTCTCCCTTTGAATCATACTGCCGCTGGAAAGTTGGACTGACTGTGACGACTCCTGGTAACACTGCCTGGTGCTGGGTAGTAGGACCGACGATTTCCACTCCCAGTGATGCTCGCTGCTGCTGGGATGAGGGACCTACGATCTCTTCTCCCAGTAACGCTGGCTGCCGCTGGGGAGAGAGACTGGTTGGGAGGCAGGCTCAGAAACCGACCCTCATCACCTATGGACCATTCTGCTGGTCCACACTTAAACACTTAAGAAACTTCTTATTGAATTGCAACATAAGGCTTTTGCCAAAATTCTGGCATCCAGGCTGGCACCCTACCTACCGTCCCTTGTGAAACCAGACAAAGTGGGGTTCATACTGCACAGGCAGGCGAGGGACAATACCTCCAGAACCCTGTCTTTGATCCATCACGGTCAGCAGACAGGCACAGGCCTTCTTCTGCTTTCGACCGGCCTTTGACAGAGTAAGCTGGGACTTCCTGTTTAGCACGCTCCTAGCTCTGGGGGTGGCACCATATATGTATAAATGGATTACAGCACTGTATACTGACCCATCGGCGAGGGTATGCATTAACGGAGCTTACACGGATGCATTCCACATCCGCAACGGGACCAGACAAGGCTGCCCACTTTTGCCTTTGCTGTTCGTCTTAGCCCTAGAACCAATTTACAGGTGATTAGGAGAAACCCATATATAAGAGTAATCGAGACAGGACCCTCAATGCTTAAGGTGGCCGTGTACGCAGACAACCTAATTTCACTCTACCTAGACAACCCTCCCCAACATTATGCGAGAATTTGAACTCTACGGAAGGATCTCTAACTTCAAGATTAACCTCACAAAATCCAACCTGCTCAATATCAACCTACCGGCAGATAGGGCCGATCTACTACGCCAGAGCTTCCACTTTCACAGGGTAATCAAATACCTGGGGATATGGATAACCTGAGACCTCAATCAACTATATAGTCTCAACTTCACCCCGATGCTCAACAATTTCAAGTAAAACCTAGAACAATGTAAGTTGCCTCATTTGTCATGGCTTGGCCGCGTTGCAGTGATAAAAATGAATCTCTTGCCCTGCACCTTGTACCTGTTCCAAACACTTCCCATACTGATCCCGATAGTGTACTTTATGTCTCTGAGGTCTCTGATGATTAAGTACATCTGGGGCCAGGGCATACCAAGATTCAAGCTGGCGGCTCCCTGAAAGCACTCGCATGGATGAATCCACCAATGGGGCGACGTATCTCGCAACATTAACCACTAGTGAAGGCCATCCTGGAAGTATGGCACAGAACGGCCCCGCAGATGGGCCTCTCATCTTTTCCATCCCCTCTCTACCCCACGAACACTTGACTGACACCACTGACACACATTCAAATAAGACACAGATGAAGGACAACAAAATCAAACTCCTCAGTGACTTCCTTGACGGCCCACACATTACCTTCCTACACAGACTGAAATCCGAACAGATCCGACAGTTTCTGAAAAATGTACCACAGCGCCCTGACCTCAACAGGACTTTGATCCCGTTTCAAAGCCTGGGGATAGACCAGAACCCACTCTTGCACGCCATCTCCCACCTATAAACCCTGCTTCTACACAATAGGAACCTCCCACCGCCTCCTTACATGGGTGAATGGGAAGCGATGCTGGGTGACACTTTCACAGAACATCAATGGGCCAAAATATGCGACCTTACACACCACTGCGCACTGGGAAGTAAAACCCAAGAGACAGCATACAGTTTTGACCCTATGGTATAGAACACCGCAAATCCTGCAGAAAATTATCCCAGACCTGAGCGACAGGTGCTGATGATGCCACACCAGGGTAGGCACATTTCTGCACATTTGGTGGGAATGCCCAAAGGTAGTCCCCTACTGGTGAATGATCAGTAGGGTGCTACGAAAGTTCTCCAACAACCCACCCCCCTTTAAACCGATCGCATACCTCTTACACCACACGATGACCCCGACAGCCAAATATAAAAAAATCACTGACTACACGGATACTGAACACAGCAAAACATATCTTGCCCTTATATTGGAAGACAGACCACCCCCTTCGTTAACAACCTGGTTTGAGGGAATGGAGGAACTATGTGGACTTGAAGACTTGATGTTCACAGCACAGGGCCGATCACAAATGTACTTAGACATATGGACACATTGGCTAGTGGAAGTCTACCAGCCAGATTTCCAAAGCATGTTGACACAAAACTGACAAGGGGATGACACGGGGAACGGGGAGGACACACAGGCACTGACACGGGAACTTCGGGTTCCTGGTCCACCCAAGCAGGTGACCGACACTCCTCCACCCTGGTCCACCGCTCATGCCTGAACCACCACATACGGAGGGCGGGAGAAGGAGGTGGGAACGAGGGCCCACATAGAAGCCAACCAGGTGGCAAGTCCTGGGGGCTAGCTGGTGGACTATCATGCCTGAGGACGTGCTTGTGGCAGGGAGATTGGAACTGAGAGACACACCGCTAACACAAGTTACATCGAACCCTCTAACAGTACACTAATACAAGACTCCATAGGATTCATCATGATACTATCCACGCTACCTAAACATATTTTGCTTTGTTTTGCTTTGCATTATACGCTGGTATGTACCCTTCATGACATTCAAGATATCTGGTATAAATTGTTTTCCTTAACGGCTTGACTTGCCTATCAAAGCCTTGCGTGTCTAGCATAATGGAAGTACATTTGCATGCTATGGACCTGCGAGTCCTTTTTATTGCAACGATACGTTCAATGAAAACTGATAGTAAAACTTTAATTTACACACAAAAAAAAAAACTGTCTTGAAAAAGGCTGAGAGCATCAGCTGACCATTCTCAGTTATTCAGCTGTCATTATAAAGGCTGGAGTTTCTTGGCATGTTCTTGCTTCTTGTTTCCTTGGCATTCGTCCACACTGCCTCCTCTGTCTTCTGCTGCGGGAGGCTTACCTTGGGCAATGAGAGGCCAGCCTGAGAGAGTCAGCTTGTTACTTGCAATGAGAGGCCAGTGATTGCCTGAGAGTGCCAGCTGTCAGTCTCAGCCTATCACTGGGCCACCATGCCAATATTTTATATTAGCTGAGCAGGCGAGGAGAGAGGAGATTCTGTTCCGGTATTTTTTGTTTCAAAACAATGTTTCATGTTTCTAAGCTATTTCCAATATGAAAACCAGTCTAAATTTCAATACATGTGCTGAATCTTGCAAGTAAAATCTATCTAACCCTCACAATTTTTTTTTTTTATTATTACTGTCATTAATGAAGCGCCAACATATTCTGCAGCGCTGTACGTTGTATGTTAGGGTAGAACATACAATATGCACAGAACAATAAAAAAGGTAAAGAAGGCCATGAGCTAAGATCAAGCTGTTGGAGCTCTTTTATTAGTCAGTATTGCATTTTTCTGGGTTTGTGGCTTGAGGCCTAAGGAATGTCATAAGAAAATTAAACAGAAATGCCCATATATCCCTAAAATATAACTACATTCATCAACAAGCATTAGCTTATACCAACCTACATTCAACAACAACAACATGATACAAAACTTCATGTAACCATGCCTGGCCACCTTGTACAGCAATCATGGATCTTCATATCTTGGCTCATTATCACATCATAAACAAAGCCATCAGCCACTAACACCCCTAAAACACCTGCCTGACATGGATCATCTAAGTGCCAGCCTATCATTGGCTGACCAAGCCAATTTATCTCACCTTTGTTCATTCCTGCAAAAATATTTGTGGGTTATGCAACTGAGATTGTGCATTGTATTGAAGTAACTCTGAAAGATTAATCAAAATGAACACAAGTATTAAATAGTACATTCAAAACTAAACTAAAAATGGTCAAAAAGCCTGCTGGTGTAGATTATCAAAATGCATTCAGAATCTAAACATTACAATTGTACGTGGACTACTACTGCAGCATGCTAATATGTGCTGATCAGTACCTAAAACCCTTTTAAGCACCTTCTGTCCAGGCTAGGGCTGCTGCCAAGCCAGTATTTCACTGACACAGCTGTTGTGTGAGGATGGCTGGCTGATGCCAGTGTACTGCAATACCAGCACTATTTTTCTCCAACTGGACTGTGGGAGAGTGGTGAGAGAATATTGACCTCTACTATGTATGGCATGTACACACATATACAAACAATGACACCCACCACACACACAATGAAACACAGGCTTCACACACTCAGTATATATACTCAGATGCAGTATGTGCACAGGCAAAGTTAACACACAATGGTACACTGCTATACATACACAAACAATCAGACACACTATGCACACACTGCTGTACACAAAATGACAGTATAGTACACACAGGGGCGGGCTGGGCCAGGGGGCAGGGACACCCAGCAAATACACTGAACAACACGCTCAGAAACCGTACATACACACACCCCTACACATACACAATTCTACATGCATATTCAGACATAGTACACACATGGTAATTTTGTTTAGCAATTTTGGGAACTTTCATATGTTTTCTTTTTTCATGTCACCCTTTTTGATGTTATATAACATCCAGTGAAATCACTCCAGTTTTTCACGTTTCGGCTGTCTGGCCTGGGTGCCTCAGTGACCTGCTTCCCCCGCTGCACAATATGTCTTCAGGATACAGGTATGTGCCTGCGTCTCCTTCATTTTCTTTTGTTGGATCAATGGCTACCTATATCTTGTACTTGAATGTAAATTCTTTATGATTGCCTGTATTACATGCAAGGCATCCTGGCAAGGGTATTTCACTTTATGCTGCCTGTTTAATTTTGTTTGCTATTCTAGTTGTTATGGCAACACAATTGACCTGCTTTTCCTCTATATTATTATGTATTCTATTTATTATCACTCATATTATGTATTGCTCCTGCCTCAACCCCTTCAATCCCAGATGTCCACACAGTGATGCTTTTTTGTTAATTTTTATGTGGGCCTTAATTTCTGCCATTTTGTGCGACTTTAACAGAATCAACAGAAACAACAGATCGTACAAGCAAATGGAGGTCATAAACATAACTAGAAATTTTAAAGCACATCATTATTATTTATCTTATTGCCTCACATCATTTTTACCAAAACATATTGAGTTAAGTAGGTAATGAGTTTTTCACAGTACAATTGCCAATAAAGTACATAGTAGAATGAATATATCATTGCTATTAAAATAAAGGATAGTTTGTATTATCCAGCTTTATAATTCAACAATTGATAGTACATACCTTTAATCCCAACATCTGTTTTTTTGTTTAAATAATCACAGATCACACCAGCATCTTCACTGTGACGACAGTTGTGTTTTCCAATATCTTGCTTGATGCAATCTGCCAAAGACCTTTCATTTCCTGTACACTTCACATTATCCACATGAATTGGCCCTTTTCCTTCTCCAAAATAAGCCATCGTCCTGGCCTTTGCTGGGCCCCTAGAATTTTCATTATACACATCATTAAATCTAAACAAAATCAGCATTCACGCTTAATGGTATTACACGGTGTTGGGGGAAGCAATCCATAACTAGATCCCAAAGTTAAATGATAAACATGGGTAAGTTAAGAAGACTCTGATACCAGTAGTATTGGACTATTGTTAGTACCATACTAATGGTTGTGTGTTCATATTATAAAAAATTGGATGCCCATTTGAGAACTGCAATTAACCAGCTAGTAAAATAAATAAATAAATAATAATAATTATACTAAACACACACGTGGCGGAATATTGAAGCATGGCAGTAAAAGGTGGAGTTAAGGATAGTCAAGATTTGGAACCTGCTTTGTCAATAACAGTGTTATTTACTACAATAAGAATTGCCGGGAGATCAAAGTGAATTTTCCATCTATGGTAAGTTAGCTAAACTAGGAGCATAACTTACTTGGGATTTTTTTCAGTTCAGCTACTTTGTCCTTAAATTTGAAATTTACTATGAATTCCTGACAATTCTTACTTTAACAAAATGTCCTGACACTGGGAAGAAAACCAGAAAAAAAATAGCTGAATCCAGTACATAATTGCTGTTGGAAGTGAACTTGCAGGGATGTCATGTCATCTTATCTCCACATGTGCAGAGAGCTAATAATTGTGATGAACAAAGCTCCATATGTACAATAAGCCTCCCACAACCTAGGGTCATTCTTTAATTTTAGATTCATGCTATACTAATAAAATCTAAATATATATGAATACATGCCTCAGACTTGTAGTATTAAAGTAGATAATAAAAGCTAGTAGTATAGTAAGATACTCTCTGATTTGAAATGGTTTGTAGACATTTGATAGACAGATTTATTTACTAAACTACAAGTTTTCTTAAATTAATTCCAATGACAAAACTGGGGCAAACATTTTCCCATTTGGAATTAATATACCCATCCTACCTCGCCTGTCCACCCCACACTCCCTTCCTCTCCTCCCTAGATCCAAGGGCGTCGTGTGCGCTGAGCAGATGAGAATGTCGAATAAAATGTTTCTATATGAGGAAGCATTTGACTGGACGGCGCAAGAGAGGCTGTGACGATTGAGAAGGCGTGGAAAAGAGCGCTGGGACCTTTGCCTGATGCTGAATTCCCGGCAAGTTTAAACCTTATAATTAGGTTTAGTTTTTTAGAAATAAGGAATAACATCAAGAAGGCATTGCCAATTAAAAAGAATTGTGCCCATAAAAAGGGTTAGAGTAAAGACATTTGGGGTTATTTACTAAAGGGTGAACTGGTGGGAATTCAAAGTGCATTTCTTATTTCAGGACAAAGTAGTGTAACTGTAAAAATTCTACAAGTCAGCTAGGTTTTCATTCCAGTTTAGTTCCAGTAAACATCCAAATGTTTACTGGAACAAAGCAAGGTTTTAATATAATTTATCCATTAAACACAGAATTGTAGGGAATTAAATGCTAAATTGCAAAACTTGAGCAAAAATAGTCGACTTGGATATATTCTCCAGCTCAGCTATATTCTAAACCTGACAATTTCAGCTTCATTTTTGTAATTTAGTTTACCTCAGTGTTTAGTGACTAAACCCATATAAGCAATTCCTTTGCTTGCTACAGTATACTCCTGTGCTTTTAATTGAAAAATCTGTGAAATAAGAGTAGAGTAATAACGTTCCCCATTAGTTCATAAAATCAGTTTAATGTAATCACAACTGTTTACATTATAACACATAACAAAAAAGAACATGTCTCCTACTAATTGTTTTATTCCCTTTACACATGTCTTTCCAGAAAAGCTCTACTGGGATGCATTATCGTTTTTCTGTGTAATTTTAATGCCTCGATAGTTAAGAAAAGCTCAAATGACAAACATAATGAGGATACATAAAACTGAATTAATTGCAATTATTTCCATTTAATTACCTTCAACATAATTGCTGACAGATTAGCACTTAGGGTTTATTCACTAAACAACATAGCAATGTTTCCAAGCCAGTTTGTTTTGAGCAAAGGTTTGCAATATGATTGTCAATTCATCACATGTGAAAGTTTACTGAATAAACACATTTCATATAAGCAAAATGACATAATTTTAACGGTTGTAATGACAAAGTAAGATAAATGCAATTTTTACTTTTATTAGTAGAGTGTGTGTGTGTGTGTATATATATATATATATATATATTAGTAATAATGACTACAGTGATATATATATATTTGTGTGTGTGTGTGTGTATATATATATATATATATATATATATATATTTGTGTTTATATATAGGGCACTGTAGTCATGATTACCATTTAATCTCTGTGTATTGGTTATAGTGCTTGTCGTCCCATCACACTGTCCCTCCATTCATTGTTAAACCATTTTTGAGATGTTTAACACTAAATAAAGGTCCCTGGTCACCCATAACCTGGCCCCTTACTGGACGTATGGTTAGGGCAGAGATTACACAATTCCTTGTAATCAAACCCATTCATAACAGCAATGGGAGCTCTGATAGGCTAAAAACAGTCAGCTGACACTCTAAGCCAATTACAGCTGCCCACTGCTAACAGGCTAATACATCACCATTCGGTCTACAAGATACTGCTCTCTCCTGGTGCGCCTCCTACCTCTTCCAGTGCTCTTTCAGTGTTTCTTTCTCTGGCTCTGCTTCTTCTCCCCAACTCCTCTGTTGGTGTCCCCCAAGCTTCAGTCCTTGGTCCCCTACTGTTCTCAATCTATACTGCCTCCCTTGGTAAACTCATTAGCTCCTTTGGCTTCCAATATCATTTCTATGCACATGACACGCAAATCTACCTGTCCTCTCCTGATCTCTCCCCGTCCCTCTTGACTAGTGTCTCTGTCTGCTTCTCTGCTGTTTCTAACTGGATGGCTGCCCACTTCCTTAAACTAAACTTGACCAAAACTGAAATTCTGGTCTTTCCTCCCTCAAGTGTTGTTACTCCTGTGTCTGTCTCCCTTCCAAGTCAACGGTGCTACCATCAGCTCCACCACGCAGGCTCGCTACCTAGGTGTTGACTCCAACCTCTCCTTCAAGCCTCATGTTCAATCTATCGCCAAATCCTGTCATTTCCATCTAAAAAACATTGCGTGCATCCACCCCTACTTAACGCCAGATGCGATTAAGGTGTTGGTCCATTCCACTGTCCTTTCTCGCCTTGACTACTGTAATCCGCTTCTCAGTGGTCTTACGTGCTCCCAACTAGCGCCGTTACAGTCCATAATGAATGCGGCGGCAAGGCTCATCTTCCTGTCCGCACGCACCTCCCATGCCTCACCCTTCTGTCAATACCTACATTGGCTTCCTATAAAATATAGAGCTCAAATTAAAATTCTGGTTCTTGCTTTCAAATCTCTACATAATGCTGCTCCCACCTATCTATCTTCCCTTATACACAAGTATGTCCCGTCTAGGCCCTTACGATCTGCTGAAGACTTACGTCTATCTTCTGTCTGTATTCCCACCTCTGATGCTCACCTTCAAGATTTCTTGAGGGCTGCACCGTTCCTGTGGAACTCGCTTCCCTCCTCCGTTAGATGCTCACCCAGTCTCCATTCCTTCAAAAAATCGTTAAAAACCCACTTCTTCATAAAAGCGTATCCATTAAACTGTTAACAGCTCCTGACTGATTCCTCTTCTGCAACTGTCATTAGTCTAATGCAATCCTTACCTTTTTTGTGTCATTTTACCCCACTGCCTCTAGCATGTAAGCTCATTGAGCAGGGCCCTCAACCCCTCTGTTCCTGTGTGTCCAAATTGTGTAGTTACAACTACATGTCTGTTCGTCCACCCATTGTAAAGCGCTGCGGAATTTGACGGCGCTCTATAAATATCATAATAATAATAATTTATCTTTTTGTTTCTATCTCTACTTCCTGAATGTATGTATGTGTCAGGTATAGCATGGCATGTAATTTATCGCCGGAACCCACTTCCGGGTTCACGGCGCTAAGCCCCGCCCCTTTCTCTGACGCGGTCCCTCCACGATACTTAGGAGGACCGCGCCAGATTCAAAGGGCTGAATTATTCGCACAGGTGCTGCATGAAGATCAGCTGCTCTACTTCTGATCCTACCTGCTCCACTTCTATACCTCGGCTAGTAAACGGATTTCTACCTTCTCCACTTCTCGACCTCGGCTTGTAAACGGATTTCTACCTTCTCCACTCCAAGACCTCGGCTTGTAACTCTGAATTCTACCTTCTCCACTCCCAGACCTCGGCTTGTTAAAACGGACTTCCCACTCTCCACTCCTAGTTCTCAGCTTGTTGAAACGGACTTCTAATTTCTCCTTCATTGGGTGAATTAACCCTTCCAGTGCCAGAACTGCCTTTAAGTTAAGTAATACTTTTACCAAACAAGTCAATTACTATTATTTATATTACACAGTATCTAAAACTTACTAAAGTGTCACTTTGTCTAATTATTCCTCTTACTCATAAGGGATTGCTACAAAGCCTAATTTTACCTTCATGGATATTTAAAGGTACAGTGACCATAGTTTCATACCAATATAAAAGGAGGTGAACCTTATTGTTGTTGCAACCAAGAAATGCTGCAGTTGAGTTCCAATTAAAGAAATATTACAAAATAATTATTACAGAATAATTCAGCCCCTTCAATGGAACCAGCAGATATTAACTCTCAAGTTTCTGCCCTAACCAATAGAGTGGATACGATTGCTCAAGGGTTACAGGAACTGCAAATTACAAATGAGAGAATATTAACCTATGTTAGAGACATTCAAGGTCATCTTCCTCATGCCGCTCTTCAATCGGCTGGTGATCCTGCTGTCTGTAATCCAGAAAATTTTTATGGAGATAGAACAAAGTACAGAGAGTTTTTGAATTCTTGCAAACTACTAATTGCTTTAAAACCTAGATCTTATCCCACCGAAAGATCCAAAGTCTGTTCAGTGATCTCTTTTTTAAGAGGTGAACCTATGGCATGGGCCCATTCCTTT